GCCTGTCAAAGGTTTTGGCTGGGACGGTGAAGAAGAGGAAGGGGAAGAAGATGTGGAGGAAGAGGAGGATGAAGAAAATGAATATTACAAGAGGGTGAAGGAAGTTCATGCCAGTGGAGAATTTCAAATCAGTTAAGCAGTATAATTCTTGTGTTCTTGGTTAAAGTTTCATTTTTTATGCTAGAAGTCACTATTTTTATGTGTACTATAATTTATATTAACTACTATAAACCAGCGAGGCAGTCTAAGTCACTACACTGTCCATGTAATGTATTAGTATTACCTGTTCACCATGGAAGTCGTGTATGAAAACAGTAGTTGTCTAATAACTTTAAATTACTCATCCATTTATAATCTAGCTAGTTAACTTTAAAATGCTTTTATATCACACGAAACAATGACCTCAACCATGTATTGTGCCTTAAGTTCTTGTACTTGGTTCTGGTTTACTTTGAGAATGCTATATCACAGAAAGTGGATGATTATCTTACTCGAGTCAAAAAATGATTTTAACCATGTACTCATTGTACATTAGTTTTTTTCAAGAGAATTACCACTGGACTAAACTTTACTAGTGATCATTTAGTTTTTCAAGAGAAATAACAAACATACTTCGGAACTAAATTTGTATATTATAGTTTTAACTTTATATTATATATATATATATATATATATATATATATAATATATATATATTGAGAAACAATCTCTTTGCTGAACATGTTGCAGACTTCATAACGTTTAAAATAAGTTTTTAGTCATATTTCGTTTTTAAATGTTTATTTAAGCATTTCTAACAAATAAGTGTTTGTTTCAAAGATACTAAGGAGTAAACCTTTTCATGTGACTTTGCATAGGGCATAGAATATTTTATAGTCTATTAAATGTAGTCTCCAACACTTGAGTGTTATATGATTAGTTGTAGCATGATTTACTGTTAGATTCCGAATTTTAGTTCATTTTTTACCCTAAAGCTTGTTAGTAGCTAATGAGATTATGCATTGGTGATTACCTCCTAGTTATTGAAAAAGACATATGTGGATACTTTGAGGACGAGAAAGGCATTTTATTAAATAACCTTTATGTCTAAAGTATTTCTTTCACTGATGCCATTTTCCTTTTTAACATGATATATATACTTTTGAATTTCTATTCAGTAGATGATTGTTGTGCTGCTTGCCACAGTTGGAGCAATCATGTCCATAAAAAATTTCAACAATAGTCATCAAAGAATAGGAGTTGCACTATATGGCATTATCTGGCTCCAAGTTTTATTTGGTCTTTCTTGACCACAAAGGTAAAATAACTAAATTCCCTTTCATTGAGAATTTGTGTATCTATACGCATGATTTTGTTGGTTAGGAAGTTAAAGTAATAGACCTTTTATGCTCTATGTTTATTAGGATTGTTAATAGAACAAGTGTTTAAAGCATATAGAGTACTGGTGAATTTGAATTCAAAGATTGTACATTAGTTGGCTTACTGGCTAAATCACTTTTTTGCAAGTATAATATTAATTACTTTTGGGGAAATAATTGAGTTCTTTTGGGGAAATAATTGTGTGTTTTGTTAAAATGTAGTGTAAGGGTGAATAATTGAGTTTTTTGATGAAATCTGGAATTTGATTGTTAACATAGTAAACTGTTTCAATGTAACTCATTTTACATTTGATTGACTAAGTTCTATGGAAGTTAATAAAATTTCATTGCTTGGTGTGAATGTATAATTACTGAAAAGATTGCTTTATATATATAATATATATATATAATATATATATATATATATATATTAGTATGTATGTATGTATGTATTTGAATGGAATTATATAATGTTACAACATCTTGTTGGTAGTTTATGGTTAATGATTGAATCTTGATTGTCTAGGGTGTGATTATTTCAATACTTAAGAGTTTGATATGTGGCTCATTACTTTCTATGGTATTTAAGTTGGTATGAATTACTAAGTATAACTTTCGGTCAAAGCAAAGATAGGTATGTTATGTTGATCACGTATAATATCTAAGCTAAGTTAATTGTATGGAATCAAGTTAACATATAATGAAAAGGATAAAGTAAGTGTTATGTTAAGCAAGCATAGTATTATGATATAAAAAGAATGTGGAAAAGCATGAGAAATGGTTTAAATAGGCATGAAAAATTGATATAACATTGAAGTAAATGATTTTTGCACTGCACTTATCTGTTTGCTAAATGGGAATATGATCTTAATTGCTGAATTGGAGTCAATATATGCAGAAAACCTTATTGTTTTAGTTATAAAACTCTGCAGAAAACCTTGTTGTTTAATTATAAAACTCTGCAGAAAACCTTCTTGTTTTAGTTATAAAACTCTGCAAAAAACATTTGATGTCTTAGTTACAAAATTCTGCAGAAAAGCTTGTTGTATTGCTGTAAATTCTGCATAAATCTTTGCTGTTTTGGTGTAAAAATTCTGCAAAATACCTTACTATTTTGCTGTATAACCTGCATAAAAATCTGGTTGTTTTGATGGTATATTCTGCATAAAAATCCTTGGCTATTTGACATTTGTTAATCTGATTGAGTAGTTTATAGCTTTTGGAGATATTGTTTTATGTCAAGTAGGTATTATTGTTGTTAAAGTTTGTTGTTGGACTATGTATAAATGTGAGATTGTGACTATGTATAAATGTTTGCTCCAATTTTCGATTCTAGGTTGGCATGTGCAGGTTTATGTTTCCAAATGCAAAGTCCAGTGGTGCATGACAGGACAAGGTTGAGAACGCCCTTAGGTTATTACCGAAGGCTTTTGGCCCTCGATAATTACCGAAGGGCGGAAGCCCTCGGTAAATGTTAGCGACAAGGGATTTACCGAGGGCTCTTGGCCGTCGATAAGCCGTCTGTAATTACCTTTTACCGACGGTTTTGGGCTGTTTCCGAGGGCTCCTGGCCTTCGGTAATGCCCTTCTTTTTTGTAGTGTAGGTCGTCTCTCAAGGACCAAATATTGGTTCAGTCATTAGATCGAACACTTGGTGGGAGGTGTTTTTGGACAGTTTTGTGAATGGAAATGAACCAAATTAAAACTCAAATTTAAACACTAATTCAAAACAATTGGCCACTAGCTCAATTACAATGCTTCCAATCACAGACTAACAACAATTAAACACTACTTTAACCCCTAATCCAATACAAGCTAGCCAACTAAGCGAAGAATAACCATGCTTTCATAATTGCAAACGAAGTGAATGCAATGCACAAATTCAATCAATTTTGCACCATACAGTCCAATCAACTAAGCGGAGATTAAACACCCAACTAAGCGTATAACCAATCACAAGCACAAAACAGATTGAATGTTGAGCCAAATTAGAGCAGCAAAATCACAATTCCAACTCAGAAATCTCAAGGAAACGATGCAATTTTGTTAATGACCAACCAAGCACACTTAAGCTACCATTAAAGCGAGATTAAAATAGAAAAATGAAATGGAATTAAATCTCATAAATGTAACAGCAGCAGCAAAACGAATCGAAAACGCATATGAATTGGGCAAAACAAAATTGCATGGAAAACAAAAATTGGAAACGTAAATGGAAGCAAGAAAAGAAATTAAATTTACACTTGGAAACGTAAATGATTCATTACAAAGAAAGGGAAAGAGAGAACCTAAACCCCCAAAGGGGGGAGGGCTAGAAAACGAACCAAAGCTCCAAAACCTAAAGGAGAAAAACGAAAATGAGGGGAGAGAACCTTTCCCAAATCTCATTTGGGATTTTTAAAAGGGAAAAAGACGAAAAAGCCCTTTATATGGGCTTCTTACAAAATGTTCACCAAAAATGGATATAAAGTCATAAAGTTTGACCCAATTACATTATAAATGAATTTAGAACGAAATTAAACTATAATGTTAATGTGACCAAGCTCTTCTTGTCCCAAAATATGATTCCAAAATTGTCTTGCAAATAATAATTGGAATAATTATGACCAAATAACTCAAATTAATTAAAATGAGAATTATTAGTCTAATTAAGCCCAAATAGTGAAAATGAGATAATAATGAAGAATTAAACACAATTCACTAATACAATATGGTGCGAAAAGCTAAATGAATAGTACAAAATAGTGATTCATCAGCTACAATAAGAGTAAAAGTGTCTTTTGGAATAGTGAATATGTTTTTTATAATGTCTCATAAATTTGGAGAGCGAAAGAATGTCTTCATTTTGACACTCAAAAAATCATAATTGTCTCATGTAGAAATAGGTAATAAGTTGATGATGTTTGATTAGTAGTAGTCATGGGTTGAGAAAATATTTTAGAAGTACTATAGAATGGAGTTATAGTTTTTTTTTAAGTAGTTGAAAAGTTTAGATACACTCAGTAAATGACCGAATGTAGCTCTAGTGCCACTGATAATATTTTAAGATTGTGAAAGGAATAGTTGATGGTTTAGAAGAAATGTGGAAATATTAAAATATGAAAATACGTAGTAGTTGGAAGTAGTATATATTTTGTAATTCCATGTATGTTGTTATCATACTTAAAATGATAATGCACATGGATATTTATAGACCCATCTTACTTACATGTTAGTTTAGAAAATTTTAGATAAAAACTATATAAATATTCTAAATTTATACCTATATAAAATGTTATGGATTTTTCCTCCTATAGACTTCTTTATTGTTCTAGGATTTTCATTACACTCTAATACTTCTATCTTAAACTTTTCTATATTCTTTTAAAATATATATTACACTTTAATACAATCCATAATCTTGATACATTCCTTATGTCTAATATCCAAAAATTCCAAAGCGATGTAACCTCTTATTTTATTCCTTTTATTAGAGGCGTTTGAGTCTTCGTGATACTTTCCAATAAGCGTGATATTGATTAATAAAGCATCTATCAACACATGAGAATACGATTCCCCATGATTTCTTTTCCTTTATCTTTGAGTAAGCAGGCTTTGAATCAGAATATAAAACCAAGGAACTCAAAAAGTAAGAGTAGAAGTGACAGCATCATCAGCAAGCATATATTCTTGCTTTCACCCATATGAATATATGAATTTCCCAAGTTGACACATGAAGCTATATTTGCTCCCGAAATAAAGAAAAGTACTTTGCATGGTCCATTGAAGCGGAAGGTGAAATCATGAGCCACCACAGGCCCAACTTCACACATCTGCAACGGCAAGGAGGTTTTAGATCCTATGATGGCCACACTTACAATCATCATGAATCCAATGAAGTGCCTGTGTTTTACAGATCTAACTCTACTCAAGCCACCGTAAGTTTATTCTGTTCTTATTTTAATCTCAAGGATTCTAGAACTTGATGACTGAAGAAGGAAAAAACAAATTAAATTTATGTTGATAGATTGTACCTAATCTCGGTTCATAATATTAGCAGGATGAAAGAACTTCCGATGTATTACCTCGACAACGGGTTTGGGCATGCATACATCCTGTAGGATTCCACCACATACCTTAGTAAGGCCGAATCACAAACTAATTTGCTTGTGTTTAGACTTCACAAATATGTTCAATGAATGATAAAGTGTTTTGATGATTGACATATATGGATGCATGTACCATAAATTTCACCGAAGTATTAGAGTTAATGTAAACCTTGAGAAAAGGTCTTGTCAGAAATATTTCCCACAAAATCAGGGTTCTACAATTTTTTCAACTGCTAAATGAATTAACAATCAATCACAAAAATGGAAAAGGAAGATCCCAAGAGCTTATTTTTAGGTAATGAGCACTATGATTTGAATTCCATAAAGCAACCTCCCCTCCACCCACGATATGCTATTTAGTTGAATGAACTTTGCAATTTTTCTGGTTCAAGGGGTGGTAGAAAAACTTAGTTAATATTTGAATAATTTGCAGTTTTCCATCAGCAGCACCTAGAAGACAACAAATTATTCAGAATGAGCATATGGGAAGGCTGAGAGATATTTTCCTTCAGCCACCTTCAAGATATACATTCCAAACAAGCACACAAGCTGCCCCAGCGGTAGAAATTTCCAAATCAACAGTTTTGAGCAAGCTTGAGAAAGTAGTGTATGCTAGGAAGCTGAACTTATATTACAGAAACAATGCTGAAGAAAAACATTTGAAAGAGAAGAAGGAAAAGGATGAAGATGGTAAGAGGTGTGCTATTTGCTTGGAAGATTTTAAGACTGGTGAAGAGGTGATGCTTACTCCATGCAAGCACATGTTTCATGAGGATTGCATAGTGCCGTGGCTAACAACTAAGGGCCAGTGCCCAGTTTGTAGGCGTGTGATTTGTGAGATGGGATGTGGGAACCCTTCATCCTTCAGCAACAATAACTGGACCACTTTGGAATCTAGCAACCTATTTAATGGAGAGCTTTTATCAGTTTTTAGGGACATGGAAGAAGCTTTTCAGTTCGGCATATGACTTAATGTACACTTATATAAGCTTATGCTACAGTTGGAAAATTGGCTTGCCGTTCCATAATATATGGATATGTTTTCTCTTCTTTGGCAGAACATATATACTATGAATTTTGATAGGTAGAACTTATGAGTTAGAGATGAGATACACGAAATCACGCAAATTTGTTTTTCACTACTTGATCCATGTATATAGTACTTTTGGTTGATTTGAACGAATTAACATTGAAAGAATTTATTGATTAAGTAATTACAACTCAATGAAACCACATGAATTGTTTCTAGGAAGTTCTAACATTAACGAGACATAAGTCAACATCATATAAGAGATTTGACACTATGTCTTGACCAAAATTTTAAGACTTAGATTTAAGGGTTTTCTTTATATGTTGCTCAACATTGTTATCTCTACAACGTAGGATTCAAAATAACACTTGAATTCTTAATAGTCTCTTCTTCAAGATTAGGTCTCTTCAACTTTGGTATTTTCCTTTTCGATCCTGAATTTTACATGTACCATCCGCTTGTTTGAAACACATACCAAAAGACTTTTTATAGAAGGAATCCACAACCTAAATTCTCCACCCATACACCAAGATGAACCATAAGCTTGATATAAATTGTTGGATTGAGCATTTATTATTTTAACAAATACTACAGTTGATAGTGAAAGCGCAACTCTTTTTACTTAAGAGCATACCAAAGCCAAGGTCAAGAGTTTAATTATCAAGGGAGGCAATTTTTGAGAGAGAAATTGTTGCTAGGGCATCAATTATCCTATTGCATAGACCACATGGGTCAATTCACAATTGAAGAGTTTGATTCTTAGAAGGACAAAAGGAGGGAGAGATTATTGCAAGGTGCATCGGTTGTCTCATGGTAAAAGTCACTTGAGCCAAGTCATAATTGAATTCACAATATATTGTTCATAATTCAATATTTCACAATCATACCAAACATATGGAAATTGGTGTTTTCTTTATGCAATAAAAGATTATAGCAAAACAATTGTACACTTATCATATTCCCACTATTTATGACGACTAACAATAAAATGCTTGTCGATAAATTTTATTGATAAATTTTCTCATCTATTAGTAATTAAGAGCGAATTTATGGTCGTCAATATTGTTGAATGTTTTTCATCAGTTAAATTTGTCAATAAATATCACGATTTTGTCTTTTCGCTCATCCTCCTCCTTTTCCTTTCTTCTTCTTCTTCTTCTTTTTCTTCTTCCTCCTCCTCCTCCATGTTGCTATTATTAGGTCCACCACCTTTGACTTCTCCCCCTCCTCCTTTATCATTGTCGTCGTTGGTGTTTTCAACATTGTCGTCATTACCACCTTTGTCGTTGTTATTGTCACCATCTCTTTCTTCTTCTTTTTTCTTTCTTCTCCTCTTCTCATTTTATTAACAGAAATATCTATTAGTGTAATAAAAATTACATAAAACCAATAGTTTTTACCAACAAAATATTTGTCAATAATTAAAATCCACTAATAATTTTTCTTGGTGTAAGTTCAATTTTATTGATGAATTGTTTTTCATAGATAAAGTTTTTTTACTAACATATTTTCTTTACCGATAAAATTTCGTTAATAATATAATATTTTCTTGTAAGGTTATTAACCCACATTTGTTTATTTATTTTTATGAAAAATCTTGATGAATAAAATTTTTTAGGTTTTTATTACGGTGAACTTTTACAACTTTAAGCTATTATTAACAATAACTTTTGTTGTAAACGTAAAAGTAATTTTGTAGAACAAAACAAGAGCAATAAAAAAGTTCAGATTGTTTCTCTCGTTCTTTTTCTTTAAGAATTATCGTTCTTAAACTTATTTTGTCATGTTTCTTTTAAGGTTTATTTATTAAAATTTAAGTTCAAGGTTTTTATTAAAATATTTTATTATTTGAAAAATCAAAATATATATTAGTTTATTATTGTTATTATTGATTTATTTTATAAATTTAATATATTTAAGACTAATAAAAATTAAATTTAAACTACATTTTTAATTAAGTGTATCTATTTAAATTGATTTTATAAAATAAATAACCCACGGATTAAGATTTCTAAGGTGTTTTTGAGTAGTGAGTAAATGCAAACTGATGTTACCTTCTATTCATTTCGTAGACATAAATGTATGATAACACAACGGAAGCAAGAGCTCACGCTGTGAAACAAACATAAAATATCCAATTTAGTTAAAATATCAACTTATTTATATATATATATATATATATATATATATATATATATATATATATATCAGTTATTTAAAGCAAGTAAAAGTTTAATTGATAAAATAAAATACATTAATGTATATTTTATATAAAAAATTATTTATACAACTAAAAAGTTATTAAGGTGCATAAATCAAAGTTTTTGTGTAGAAGACATTTTCTAAAAAAATTATGAAAAATTAGAAGATGCAAAGAATAAAAAATGAGTGTGAATAGCATGGGCGATTTGTAATTTGAATCGAAAAATTGGTTGGGCCTTTTAATTGAGTCCAAAATGGGTCCGTCTGACCCAAATTAACACTTTGCATATGGACTGAGTAACGTCGTCGTTTTCTGATTCTCCTTTTATATTCACACCTCACACAAGTCCTTCTGTTTGGACGGTTTTGTTATTATTAATTCTTCCCTTCCATCTGCCGCCGCAACGGTGCACCCTAGTAGCCTCCAACAATGGTAAACCCTTTTTAGGTTTTCATTTCTCTTCTTTCAAAATCAAATTCACTGTTTCTCAGATTTGAATGTTATTTATCTAAAATTCGAGTGTTATTTACCTTTTTTTTTTACCTTTTGAATTGGAATGAACGGAACTTCAGGCTTCAGAGAAGAAACTCTCGAACCCTATGAGGGAGATAAAGGTACAGAAGCTCGTCCTCAATATTTCTGTTGGCGAGAGTGGAGATCGCCTCACCAGAGCTGCAAAGGTTCACTTCTTTCCACATTGCTTCCACTTTTTTCTTAAGGAAAAAAAAATCGGTTTTTGATGTGGAATTTCTTTATTTTGGGTCTTGCAGGTGTTGGAACAACTGAGTGGACAAACCCCAGTGTTCTCCAAAGGTTAGTTCTCCATTAGTTTTTTAATGGGTCGTTTGGTAATACTGTTATTAGGCATAGATCTCAAATTTGTGTTCAGTGGAAGTCTCTGGTTTTGAGTTTATTTAATCATTTTTGGATTTTTATCGTTTTTCAAAGCATAGAATACTGGGGAAGTGGTTTTGAAGGATGCCCAAAAAAATTTCAATTTACGGAAGCCCATTCTTATGAAAACATTAAAATGTCAGATATTCTTCAGAAGTCTGTGAACCAACTCAAGATGAGGATTCTGATATCCATGAGTATATGGCTGGAAGAAGTTTGTTTGAGATCTCTCCTATTTGGAATGTAGAGAAGTTCTATTGAGATCCTTGTAGAGAAGTTCTGAAGCTCTTCTAGTTTTGTATCCAAACAGGCTCATTTAAATATTTATTTTTTTCAAACACAACAGACCAAACTTGTGAAGTTTTTTAAATTGTAATTTTGCCTTACTTCTAGTGTATAATATTAGTGGTTATTGTATGTAGGATATGTGTGTTTCTCTCAGTTTTGATTGCTGAGAAATTTTTTCCTCATGTTGGTTTTGACAGCAAGGTACACTGTTCGTTCCTTTGGGATTAGAAGAAACGAGAAGATTGCTTGTTATGTCACTGTTAGAGGTGACAAGGCAATGCAACTTTTGGAAAGTGGTTTGAAGGTGAAGGAGTATGAACTTCTCAGAAGGAACTTCAGCGATACTGGCTGCTTTGGCTTTGGCATTCAAGAGCATATTGATTTGGGAATCAAGTAAGTTGAAAAACGAGTATTGGATTTTCATGCTGTTTCAACTTGACAATGAAACAACGCTAACTTACTTTAAGGTGTGAGTTTTTAGGGCTGAAGGGATGGGAAGTTGATGATCTGGTTTTTGTGTTGTGATATGAATACTCAATTTTCGATATCATACATGACTTCAAACAAATGTTAACTTGCTTAAAAGATATGGGTGTTCTATAATTATGTTTTTGTTGATTAGGTCCTTGGGTTAAAGATATTGTGTTGCTTGATGTTTGAGGTAGCAGGACTCACATTAGCTTGGTTGTTTGTTAATTAGATTTTAGATGTTATCTGAAATTAATAAACTGGTTTTGCAGTTTGTGATCTGTCTTAAAATGACATTGTCATACTATTCATTTTCTGATTCCTTCACTTGCGATTTTGTCTACTAACTTTGGTTCATTTCCCCTTATATGTCAGATTGTGTTTTCAATTTCTTTGGTGATTGTGAATATTTCGATCTACACACTAATTATTGGTTCTTGACATTTGATTCTGATTCAGGTATGATCCTTCAACCGGTATTTATGGAATGGATTTCTTTGTTGTTTTGGAGCGTCCTGGCTACCGTGTTGGCCGTCGCCGAAGGTGCAAGTCCCGTGTTGGAATTCAGCACCGTGTCACAAAGGAGGATGCTATGAAGTGGTTCCAGGTGAAATATGAGGGAGTGATCCTTAACAAGTCTCAGGCAATTGTTTAGTTTGGGTTCACTTTAGGAGTGTGTGTTATCAGTTTTGTCAACTATAGTTCTATCTTTCTATGATAGGATCTTAATTTTTTGCCAGGTTTTGAATCCATGTTTTCATTTAAGATTTTGCGATGAAGCACATGTATTAGCATTGTTAGATGACACTTTAATTGCGAAGTTGTGAAACCCTCGTTATGCAATTATGCTTTGTAACAATTTAGTTTCTGTATTTTGTATGCAAATGAAGCGATGTCTTTCTCCAGCATTTCCGGACAAGTGAAACCATTTAAATGAAATCACGACCTCAGCATTCAATAACTGATAGACGCTGGAAAAATTTTGTACTAAGTGACAGAACTATGTTGTTGCATTCCCAATACTTCATGTTTTCCAGAAATTGTTTTTGTTGAAAGTATTTTTATTCGAAATTATTTCGTATTTATGAACTTGCTGTTCTGAAGAATGATTTAAAACATGAATTACAAAGAAGATTGTAAGTAGTGAGTGATTCTGGGATAGGTAGTTTGAAAGGCTTTGTAACTGATATAAAAGGGACTATTTTTCTTTTTGAGAAAATGATAACTTATTTTGTTACCATACGTTTAGACTAGTT